GCGGGCTAAGCTTGCGGGAAACCAAGATCCGTCGACAACGTGGAGGGGCAGCAGCAGTAGGAGGAGGCGGAGGAGCAACAGCAGGTGCAGGAGGAGGAGGGTCGGAGGAGGAAGGAGGAGGAGGATGAGGAGTAGGATCAGAGTAAGCCCAGATGCTGCCGTGCAACCCCGCGCCTCTCCTCGCACGCTCTCGCGAGCAAAGAGCAGGGCGAGAGACACCACCTGCGAGCGCCCGCTGGAGCTGGGGAGGGCCCCGTGGGCATGCACGGGCGAGCGCACTGCGCACCGCAGCGTGCGCGCAGGCGATCGGGCCAGGGCCCAGCCGCGGAGCCCGCGCGGAAGATCCGCGCCACTGGCCCGAAGACAAAGCACCCGGAGTACCCGGAGTACCCTCCCTCGCATGCCTCTCCTCCGGAGCGCTGGGGCCTCCAGCGAATCCTGCGCTGTTTCGGAGCCTCGCGAGAGCTTTTCACCTCTTTCGCAAGGTGTCTCACGGGTCCCCGTGTACAGTGTTAGCCAAAGATGCCCTCCTGGAGGCAATCCAGGTTGTAGACTTCACACTCCAGCCCTAGGCGTTCGGTGACGGCGCCCCTCCGGAACATGAGTAACAAAGCAGAAGCAGCAGCGGCATGAACGTACGCATCCGGCCCTCCGCGCGGATGTCTTTTGGACCGGCGCGACGCCCCCCCAAGAGTGGCGCCGCCCCGGCGCGCTCCGCTCGCCAGGGAGGATGGGGCCAGTGCCGATGCAAGAAATTTGGGCATCTTCAAACAGCTCGTGCCGATGCTGCTGTTTGCCCCGCCCCCTGGTGAACGAGATCCGGGTCACACGGGAAGACCAGTTGGAGGTGGGCGCCAGGCTGCGGACCGGTGCATCGGCAGCCTGGCAGGACGCCACCGCCAGCTGCGCTGCGGGATGAACCGTCTGGCGTTTGCAGACGCAGGCGGGAAGGAACACGCCGTGTGTCCAGCAGGCACATGTGAGGGGGGAAAGAGACACACAGACACAATGAATCCTCGATTCCCAGGAAAATATGGGAGAATATGGGAGGTGGGGGGGAAGACAGAAACCCAGAAAATATGGGAAAATATGGGGAATCCTTTTATTTGTGTGTAATTTATTTGCGTGTCCCAGGGCCCCTTCAACATGGGCAATAAGGGCAGGCCCTCTCGGGCTCGCGGGCATCGGCAGGGCTAGTGTTTGCTAAGGCGTACCTAGTATGCGGATGCAGAATACGTCTGCTCGTCGCCTGCCAAAAGGCCTTCTGAGTCATAGTACTACGGCTGGCAACCTTGAATGACTTAGAGAGGGAGGAGGAGGAGGAGGAGGAGGAGGAGGAGGAGGAGGAGGAGGAGGAGGAAGTGACATTCCCACTTGCGAAATTCTGCAGAGCGCAATCGGTTGTGAGGAGACTGCAGTACCCCACCGAACCAAGCCGCCCCCGCCTGCGAATCGGCCGTCTCGCACGCGTGCCCCGCAGCGCCAAGCAATTCTTTGCATGGGGCGGTGCTGGCATGGGGTCCGTGGATGCCGCTGGCTCCCCGTGGCGGGCCAGCGGGCGTCCGTGGATCTTCGCGAGCGGACCGCGGTGGCGAGGAGCCTCCTGGAAGTCCAACCTGCTCGGAAAGCACAGAGCAAGACCCACTTCCATCCTTACAGTGGGGGCCCATGCCAAGAAGCACTCTGCTTGCCTCCAGGGTGCCCTGGGTCTCTTGGGCTTCGATGGTTCTGCCACGGGGAGCGCGACGTTCCCACACCAGAAGCCCATGGACGTCCTGGGGTCTCAGGGTCGGGTTTCTCGTGGAAGGTTTCTTGTGGTCGGGCCTCCACTGAAGTACAGTGGGGGCGCGCATCAAGAAACCATATGCTTTTTCGTCAGGGCGCCCTGGGTTTCCTCGCTCCGCGCGCTGCGCGGTGACCTCCTCGCGGCCGTCGAAGAAGCCGGTGCGTTCTGAGTGCCCTGGGTTCCCCCTGCTTGCATCTTGCGCCTGAGGGCTCGGTTTCTTGCGAGGGTTTCCTGCGACCGCGCCCGCACTGTATTCCCATTCTGGGGCGCAACTGGCCGATAGCGACCACATCCTGGGGAGGTCAATTCTACCCACAGAGAGCAGTGTAATGGCATATTGTGGCTGCCTTGTCGCGTATAGGTAGGATGGGGCGCGGCGCACGTCGCCGCTGCGACATGCGCGCGTGTCAGGAATGGGGCGCGGCGCGCATCGCGACCTGCGCTGCTGCCGCCAGCGATGCGGGAGCACGTGGCAGGAACGGGACGCGGCGCACCTCGGGCCCCAGACCTCGCCAGACGGTGTGTTGTCGACGATGCCGAATGCGCTGTAGTAAAGGGACGCAGCGCAGGTCGCGCCCCGGACTCCGTCGTCGGCGATGCAAGCTGCGCGGCAAGAGCTGGGACGCGGCGCACATCGCGCCCCGTCCTCCTCGCCGGCGGGACAAACAAACACGCACAATAATGGGACGCGGCGCGCGTCGCGCGCTGGACTTGGCTCGCCGCGCGCTGAGCTTCTTTTTGTCGGCGCTGCCGAGACGATCTGACAGGAATCGGGCGCGGCGCGCCCCGCGCCCTGGACAGTCCAGGGCGCGGAGCGCGCCCTGGACTGTCCAGGGCGAAAACAAAATGCGTGGGAGGAACTGGGGCGCGGCGCACATCGCGCGAGGGCCGCGTGCGCCAGGCGTCTCGGAAGCCCTGGGAACGCCCAAGTCCGATCGGGTGTCTACAGTGCCGTTTTTATACATGCTCCGCGTGCGGATCATGTATTGAACATGCAGGGATTTAGTATCGGGCGAAGAGAACTATGCACATGCACCGATCCTGGCAATGCCCATTTTTGACCCAGGATCGGTGCATATGCCTTCCTGGCCAAGGCAGGAGGGCGTATGCACCGATCCTGGGCTCAGGATGGGCCTGGCCAGAATCGGTGCATGTGCATAGTTCTTTTCCCTCTAACAACGATGAGTATTTAACTCCTATGTGTTAAAAGCTCCCCTGTAGGGTCGGTCGCCCAGCGCTCCTCGGGGCCCAGCACTCGAACCGCCGACCCCTTCGCCCTGCGGCCGGCCCGGGGGGCCGGTTGAGTGCGCGCGACGCCCAGCGCATTGTTCAGGAGGGGAAAAAACACACAGACACAATTAATCGTCGATTCCCCAGAAAATATGGGAAAATATGGGAAGTGGGGGGAAGACAAAAACTTAGAAAATATGGGGAAATATGGGGAATATGTTTATTTGTGTGTATTTATTTGTGTGTCCTGGGGCCCCTTCAATTGTTTCTGCAGGTTTCAGGCGGCCAGCCCTCATGGTGGGGCATTGCGCAGTCCCGGCTGGCCTCAACAGGCCCCCCGAGAAGTCGGGTGCGGTTTCAGCACTTTTCTAGACCTCGTAGATTGGGTCGGAGTAGATGGGGTTGGAGGATCGCGCCGCGTCGCCGATGCATTGCCGATGCGGCTCGATGTGCAGCCCGATTTGCTTCACGTCGACGTCGCCGATGCATCGCCGACGTCGATGATGCGTCGCCGGTGCATCGCCGATGCATCGCTGATGCATCGCCGATACATCGCCGGTATATCGGCGATGCGGCGCGATCCTCTGACCCTATCTATTCCGACCCCATCTAGGAGGCCTTTAACTCGGGGGCGGCAAAGAGGGGGTGATGACTAGGGGAGGATGGATATCATGGCGTGGGCCATGATATTTCCACAGATTTCATGGCGCTCTTCTTATTCCATTACGTCCCTGGCCCCCCCGCTGGGCCGCGCACATGCCGCCGGTCATGATTTGCACCCCCCCCTCTTGGACACCCCCCTCTGGTCAGAGCGTGAATTACCTACCACGCTTTCGCTTCCAGGCAAAACCAAGTCATACCACACGCCTCCCCGTCGAGCGGCCTTACCAGTGCGGGCCGTAATTTGGCATCGCTTGAGGGAGGAGGGAGGAGGGAGGAGGGCGGAGGGAGGAGGGAGGAGGGAGGGGGAGGAGGAGGAGGGGGAGGGGGAGGAGGGGAGGAGGGAGGGGAGGAGGGAGGAGGGAGGGGGAGGAAGGGAGGGGAGGGAGGGGGGAGGGAGGGAGGGAGGGAGGGAGGGAGGGAGGGAGGGAGGAGGAGGAGGAGGGAGGAGGAGGGAGGATGGAGGAGGAGGAGGAGAGGAGGAGGGAGGGGGAGGAGGAGGAGGAGGAGGTAGGGAGGAGTGGAGAGGAGGAGTGAGGAGGGAGGAGGAGGAGGAGGAGGAGGAGGGAGGAGGAGGAGGCGGAGGAGGAGTCCCAGATTCGGAAGCTGGGCGAGGGCTGCTAAAACCGTGGCTGCTGAAACGGCCCTCCCGGAAGGAAAAAACAGCTTCCCGGAATGAGGCGCGGCACGCGAAGCAGTCAACGGGCTTCTTCCCGGAAGGACGAGGACAACTTCTCGGAGGTCGATTTTAGCAGCCACGGATTTAGCAGCCCTTGCCCGGCTTCCGACTTGTGGAGGCCAGCCGGGACTGCCTGGGAGGGCCGTCCGTGCGCAGTTTCAAGCCGGAGCTCTGCCAAACCATCACGGGGCCCGTGTGTTGTGCAGACAGGTCGGCTGGCGGGCTTTGTCCTGTTGGGCGCGTTGTCGCGCACGAGGGGGAGTTCTCTACACTGCATGTGGTCTTTTACTTCGTCGTTGTGTGTGCCCCGATGCACGATGCAATTGATCATTGAGGATAAAAAGAACCCCTATTCCTAATAACACGATGAAGAGGTGGCCTGACTGAGGTCCCCGTCTTCGGGAAGATACATCTGGGCGGTTTGGTTCGATACGTTTGCAGAAAAGACACCCTATCCCTAGTGTTCCTGGCCCCCCTAATTTAGGAGCTCTCCCAAGGGGTTCGGGTTCTCTGGTCAATCAAGTGAGGCCCATTTCAGGTGCAGCCAGCCGTGCCAGCCGCGGAGGCACGAAGAATAACGGCGCTTCGCGCGTCGCGGCTCGGGCCGGAAAGCTGCCCTTCTCGAGGACGGCGGCGCGAGGGCGC